TATTGTACAAACTAATCACTCTCGGAGAATATGTCATAAATATCAAGTTCTTGCTCTATGATAAACACTTTGTTATTTTGCAATATAAAGATATATTTCTGAAGTCAGCATATCCCAGCAAGTGTACTTCAAGGTTCTTTACTTCAGCCAAATAAACTTCCAAGACAATAATAATTCCTCAACAGCTTGGTTTCTTAAGGAAGCATTCAAGGATACCCCAACTCTATAAAGTGACAGAACTCATACTTGAAGGCCTGCAAAATCGATATACTACAGGAGCTCTTTCTCTTGATTTATTGAAAGCATTCAGTCGTATCTAGATTGATGGACTATTGTACAAACTAATCACTCTCGGAGAATATGTCATAAATATCAAGTTCTCGCTCCAGGATAAACACTTTGTTTTTTTGCAATATAAAGATATATTTCTGAAGTCGGCATATCCCAGCAAGTGTACTTCAAGGTTCTTTACTTCAGCCAAATAAACTTACTATTGCAATCCTAGCAAAATCGATGAATTTAGTCATTCAAGCACTTCAAATACACATCCATGCACTAGAGTCCTGGTTTAAAAAATGAAAAAATCCTCATCAATGTGGATAAATTGAAAGCAATTCTATTTACAAGAAAGAAGACTGAACAAAACACCAAAATTTTTTATATTTCTATTCCATGGAACAAGCTACAACTATTCCATGGGCCAAGAATCTCAAATACCTTCGTGTTATACTTGACCAAAAATTGATGTGAAAGCTCCACACTGCACACATAATTTCTAAGCTCGTTAAACATACCTTCACTCCCATAATTTCTTGAAAGTCTGTTTTACCTATTGATAATAAGTTATTTATTTACAAGATTTGTTACAACCTGCTATTACTTATGCCCTTCCTGTATGGGGATTTCATAGTTATATTCATAATTCAGAAGTCAAACAACAAAAATCAGCGTTATATTTTCCAAATTTTCACAGGACTAGTTTCGATGGTTTTACCAAACCACCATCCTCAGCTGCAAAACCACAAATGAAAAAGATAGGAAATAATAATTAGATAGGACAAGAAAGCCGGGACAAGAATTAGCAAGTGGCGCCATCTGTTGATGAAACCAGAACTAACACATAATTTCTCTACAGGCTGAAGGCAAAGATGGATTGGAATTAGGATCGTTACCTAAAACAGAAAGATTTTTTTGAATGTGAAATGCTTCTAGAAAATCCAGTTCTCCAATGGAAGATGTTTTTTGAATAATTTTGGCAGCAGAAAAATTGAAAGTGTGATTTTCGGACCAGCAATTTTGAGCAACAGAAGACTTCTGTGTTTTCTTTTTTCTAACATATGCCTCATGTTCCTTGATGCGAAATTTTGAGGTTCTCTTAGTTTGGCCAATGTAAATTAAACCACACTGGCAAGGAATCCTATAAATACCCCAGGAATTCATATCTGGAATGGGGTCCTTGAGTATGGAACTCGGAATTTTATTGATGGGAGAATAAACAAACTGAAAGTTAAATTTCTGCAAAATATGTGCAACTTTATAGCTAATTGATGGAAAGAAGGGAATGACAACAGAATTTTTATGATCTCCTAAAACAAGAATGTGCCCTTTTAGTGTGTTGAGATGAGAATTTTTTAACTGCTTGATTAATAATGTTGGGTAAAAAGCCCATGTCAACAGCTATTGCTTTTAAATAATTTAGTTCTTCATCAAAGGATAGTTTGGAGGAGCAAACTTGAAGAGCACGAAAACATAGGAATAAAATGAAGCTAACTTTTGTTTAGTCGGATGGCATGATTTAAGGTGTGGTGGAAGGCAAACCGATGAAGGTTTATAGTAAACCATAGTACTGAAGTTGGATGTCTTACGTGTGACCAGAATGTCAAGAAACGGAAGATAATTGCAATTGTCAAGTTCAAAAGTGAACTGAATAGCAGGATCACTAGAATTCATTGTTGAAAGAACTTTATTTAAATCATCTTTATTACCTTCAAACAGGGTAAAAGTATCATCTACATAACGGAACCATGCCGGGAAGTTTAAAGTTTCAAACAATTTTGATTCATAATAATGCATTTAGGTATCAGCCAGGATGGGACTGAGGGGGCTTCCCATGGCTAATCTCTCAGTTTGCTTGTAATATTTATTTTGGAAAACAAAATGTGTTTGTTTCAAACAGAGTTGAGTGAGAGAAATTAGCTCATCAATTTCGATGCAAGAAAAATGAAATTCGCGAAGTCTGACTTCTAGACATCTTAATGCACAATCCACTTTAAATATAATCATAAATTCATCAATAAATGTAGAAAGTTTCTAGATTTTCAACTCTATTAGACAATAACATTTACACCATAAAAAATTCAATACAGTTTGTAAAGAAGGTTAAAAACATTTCTCCTAGAAATTTACTTATGGTTTCTTTTGATGTAAAATCATTATTCACCAATGTTCCACAGGAGGGTGGATTAAGATGTCTAGAAACCAGACTTCAGGAATTTCATTTTTCTTGCTTCGAAATTGATGAGCTAATTTCTCTCACTCAAATCTGTTTGAAACAAACACATTTTGTTTTCCAAAATAAATATTACAAGCAAACTGAGAGATTATCCATGGGAAGCCCCCTCAGTCCCATCCTGGCTGATATCTACATGCATTATTATGAATCAAAATTGTTTGAAACTTTAAACTTCCCGGCATGGTTCCGTTATGTAGATGATACTTTTACCCTGTTTGAAGGTAATAAAGATGATTTAAATAAAGTTCTTTCAACAATGAATTCTAGTGATCCTGCTATTCAGTTCACTTTTGAACTTGACACTTGCAATTATCTTCCGTTTCTCGACATTCTGGTCACATGTAACACATCCAACTTCAGTACTACGGTTTACCGTAAACCTTCATCGGTTTGCCTTCCACCACACCTTAAATCATGTCATCCGACTAAACAAAAGTTAGCTTCATTTTATTCCTATGTTTTCCATGCTCTTCAAGTTTGCTCCTCCAAACTATCCCTTGATGAAGAACTAAATTATTTAAAAGTAATAGCAATTGACAGGGGCTTTTCACCCAACATTATTAATCAAGCAGTTAAAAAATTCTCATCTCAACACACTAAAAGGCACATTCTTGTTTTAGGAGATTATAAGAATTCTGTTGCCATTTCCTTCTTTCCATCAGTTAGCTATAAAGTTGCACATACTTTGCAGAAATTTAACTTTCAGGTTGTTTATTCTCCCATCAATAAAATTCAGAGTTCCATACTCAAGGACCCCATTCCGGATATGAATTCCTGGGGTATTTATAGGATTCCTTCCCAGTGTGGTTTAATTTACATTGGCCAAACTAAGAGAGCCTTCAAATTCCGCGTCAAGGAACATGATGCATATGTTAGAAAAAAGGAAACACAGAAGTCTTCTGTTGCTCAATATTGTTGGTCCGAAAATCACACTTTCAATTTTTCTGCTGCCAAAATTATTCAAAAAACATCTTCCATTGAAGAACTGTATTTTCTAGAAGCATTTCACATTCAAAAAAATCTTTCTGTTCTAGTTAACGATCCTAATTCCAATCCATCTTTGCCTTCGGCCTTTAGAGAAATTATGTTTTAGTTCTGGTTTCATCAACAGATGGCGTTACTTGCTAATTCTTGTCCCAGCTTTCTTGTCTTATCTAATCATTATTTCCTATCTTGTTCATTTGCAGTTTTGCAGCTGAGGATGGTGGTTCGGTATAACCATCGAAACTAGTCCTGTGAAAATTTTGAAAATATAACGCTGATTTTTGTAGTTTGACTTCTGAATTAGTATTTGTTCGGCGTGTTATTGTGTGTTAGTTATATGCATATTAATAAGTTCCAAATTATACAAAATGTTATACTAAGGCAGATTATGAAGAGCAGCTGGATCATTCCTATTCCTGCAATCCACAAGGAACTCAAAGTGCAATAAATCAAAACCTATATGGCAAAATTAGCACAGAAATTCTTTAGAGACATCACTTAAATGAATAATGAAGGTAGTCTTATCTTGACTATGATATCAAAGATTAGATTAACACTAAAAGACCTGGTGCAATAATAAGAGCACTGAAATGATATATTATTTGCTAACTCATTTTTGTTTTTAAAAAACTACTCTTAATGTTGCATTAAGTTTATTCTTCAAATGTTATTTATTTTTGTATATTGTTTCATTGTCTTAAAATTTTACTTACAAATTCTTAATGTTTAATTGTCTTACTAATTAATTAAAAAATCTCTCCTTTAGGCTCATCTCATCCAAAATGTCAGCTCCAAATAGCCCTACCCTTCAATTTCGCCTGCAAATGGCCAAACTGCATTTCTACCATCCCTTCCAAACTCCTAAGCTCCTTGAAATCAGCTGACCAAATGCTCCTCTCCTTACTGATAAATGGCTACGCCTCAACAGTAAATGTATTTCACTTAACTCTCGAAAGGACTTGCTTTGGAATAATTTTGGGCACAATTGCTTATCAGTTCTATGTGTTTAGCCCTAAAAAAAAAAAGCTCATCCTAGCTATGCTTTTGATTTTTCATTTACTACACACAGGATAGGGTAAAACCCTATGACCAGCAAACGTGACTTCTTCACCTGATAGAAATTCAAACTTAAAAAGTTAAATTGATGAAAAATATAAACATGACTCAGCACACGAATTGTTGCAGAAACTTCATAAATTAATGCTTAAATCAAGCATTTGAAAGAAATTACATTAAAACATTTTAAGTACTTTCAAAAATTGAAGCACCATTAACACATCTGAAAAGCTTTAATATCTAATAATTTAAGTGCTGCTACAGAAAAAAAATTACAAAAGTTAAAACAGGATTAATTACTTATATTGAGAATAAGAAAATATTTTTTATTTATATGCAAATGGAACATGAAGACCAAAATTATTCTGAGAATTCTTTTCATCTTTTAATATTTAAACAAAATATGAATACATTTCACAGGTAGATTTAAATCATAAAACAAACTTACATTAGAATTGACAATTGATGAATCAAATTCATTGCTAACTTTGTTCCCAACTGAAAGAAACCTATGATTAATCACTGGTGAGCTCTTTAAAAGTTTCGCAGATGAGGGCCTTGAAAAGGGAGAAGTTCTTCCCTTATCTGTAAGAATAACATGTTTAAAAGTTAAAGCATCTGATTACTTACATATAAATTTGAAAACTTATTTTGAAAAATAATTTCATAAATTTGTTAAAAAAACAGCAAAAGAAACTTGTCTGTTTCACTATTACAAGTATGTAAGGTAAAATCTTAAGCAGTCTCACAGATCATCCGTACAGTTATGATATATACAATGTGGTAGCAAAAAGTAAAGTAAACTTCTGGATACTAGTAATGTCAGAAAGTAAAAAGCAGATTTAGAACGACTGCAGCATAAAAACTATAAGCAGCAAGAATCAAGTTATAATGTGTGAAAGTGAAACATCATGCTGTATGATGCAGAGGGGAAGTATTACTTCCTTAAACATAATTTTGCTTTGTTAACATGTGCAGTTATTCTAAAATTACTTCCAAGTTTCAGAATTTTTTAGATACCAAAGACAGCTGACTGGGTATTCTGTAGGCTCTTAAGCAAACCCATCAGCCATCTAGCTATCTCATCACTAACAACATAAAGTTCCTACAAAAAATTCAAAAACACACTCTTAGTTTCAGATCAGCATTCAGCTTCCATTGGCCATTTCAATTTCCAGATTAATGCATTTGTACACAGAAGAAGAGAAAATATTCAGCATTTACTATATGCATTTACCAATAAAAAAAAAGTGTGTTTTTGTAGCAATTATTTTTCCTGGGGGTGGACACATTTACAAATTGTAAAGCTTCCATTAAAATTTTTACTGCATTTTTGTGACACCTATTTGGGAAGAGTGAATTTTCACTTTCACACTTACATGTCTCCTACCCAAGCTTTTATAAAAAAAAAAAAAAAAAAAAAAGACTAATAATTAAAAAAAAAAAAGTAATTCAAACATTTAAATTGCACAATAAATGCTAATATGCATTATCATTTCCAACTTGTTAAAGGTTAAAAAGAAATTTGATTAGTTTTTTTAACATTTAAATGCATAAATGCATAATTTTTTTCCAAAAGTTTCTTAAATATTCTACATTTTATTTAGTGAAATGTTGATAATATTTTAATTCTTGTTTAATAGGGTATATTATAGATATAATTTAAACACAATTACATATTTTCAACAACCATATAATATTTAAAAGATTACGAAAACAGAAGTAAGAGGTACCAAAATATTAACTCAAAATTAAAATTTAATTTTTCTATTTTTTTTACATTAGATTTTTAAATATCCGAAACTATGACATAATAGCAGTGCATTACAGATAGCAGCTTTACACATTCAAAATATTTAATAAGCATTTTAAACACTGACAATGTAATTTTGACAGCAAATTTTGCTCAAAACTTAAAATATGTCAAATTAATTTTAAACAGTTTATTCCAGAGTTATTTTTTCAAACAGACACAAACTTGTTTTAAACAAATTTTTCATCACCTTAACCTTTTCAATCACCTCCAAACAGCATGCTTGTTGTCTATTGTTGGAACCACTGGCTCAGTAAAGGCCTAGACAGCCACCATAGTGGCTTGGCACATCCATGTGCCACTAATGTGCAAGAGAACTGCACAGTTAGAAGAGCTGCTCCATCCACATCAACAGTTAAACTATCATCAAGTCAATGTCATTTGACAACTCGCAGGGATCCTGGGACATCCAGGGATATGATTTGCAGAATACTAGGTCACACTGGGCTCAAATCTTAACATCCTTAACACGGTTGCCACTGACACTCCACCATAAGCAGAATCCTCTTGTATCACCGGCGCTCTCGCTTAGCGCTTTTTTCTCAGTGCTGGTGACTGCCACTTACATATCTGGAGCCTGAGGAGCAATCAGCTAAAATTGCCGTTCATCATTAGTCATGCTGCGAGGTACTCTAACTGCTTGCAGGTACACTGACGACATTTTGCAGCTGATTGTACAGCCTATGCTAGCAGATCATCCAGGTTCTGTTTACCAACAGCACGACTTTCCCAACAATGTCTTTGCTATTTTCATGTCCTCAACTGCCAAATCTCCAGATCCATTACCTTTTGAACATGTTTGGGATATGTCGGGCAGGCAAATTAGCCGTATATAAATATATCCAAAGTTGCTGACCAGTTGCTCCATTTGTGGCACAATCTATTGCAGAGGGACACTGGCAACAAAATAGACTCCATGGCCAACCGAGTATTGGCTTGTATAGCTGCCAGAGGTGGCTTTATCACCTACTGATTTTCATATTTTTTGTATTGTTACTCATAAATAAATCACTTTTGTCCCTATTTTTGATCATTTGTTTATCTACTATTTGAATATTATACTATTGCCAACTTTCATAGTTGTAGCTCAATTCTTTCTGAGTGCATATATTTTTTGGCATCAGAAGTGTAGCTATGAGAACTTTTGCACACAGAGATATAAAGCATTAATTTACTATAAAATTATTTACTCTCTATATGTTAAAAGTTATATTTGAACATAAAAAGCTTACTATAACAGCTCTTTTCTTTTAAACAATATATTAAAAAAAAAAAATACCTTCAGAAACTCTAACTTCATCAGAATCTTTCTCGGCCTTTTTTACTTGCCTCTCTAATTCTAATTTTTGTTCATCCCTTTTCATCTCTGATATTTGTCGCTGTTGTTCTGATGTTAATACACTCTGCATCCGACGCATATCCATGATCTGAAGTCTCTGGGCTTCTAAAAACTGATCATTAGCCATCTGCCATGTTCTTTTCAACTGAACATGTTCTTTTTTTTCCTTTTCAAGTAACTGACAAACTATAATTGAAAAAAAGGTGAAATATTCCATTGCATAAATACCGTATTAAAAGTCCTTTTAATGTGCATTTAAATGAAATAGTACTATTTAAACCTATAAATCAATATGGAATAAATTTTCATTAAAATAGATTCAAGTAGTACATAGTATATACATAATCAATAGATTTATCATTCACTTATTTTATGCTCAACTGTTTCATTACTTAACATGCAAATCTGTAATTTCATTGAAATTTCAGAAAAATTAACGAAAATTGATGAAATTGATCAGAGAAATTTGCATAATGCAGGGTTATTTAAAATAATGTATGGTATTTAAACATAAAGTCAATAAGCAAAGACTTACCAGAACAAATTTAAAAGCAAGAACAGCTCTATTATCTTTATTTTATGACATTATGACTGTTTGATACGACTTCCTTAAGTCACAAGGACAATGTCCAAATGATAGTCCATTTCTCTCCACCATCATTTGAGCCTGTCTGGTATTACTAAGTTCAGAACATTACCTATGCATATTCATAAGTCCTAAAAGTTACATGGTAATGGTTGCACATACACTTAGACTTTACCAAATCCCCCTAGAAAAAGTTGCATGGGGGCAATGTCTGGGGAGGGGCAAGGAAACATCCTTTTGGCATTTGTTCTAGCATTAGAATATTTAGACACTTTTAGCTTCTTGTGTAGAAGTGCACCATCCTACTGAAAGACGAAATTACTTGATTCTTCCAGGAAAAGCCAGATCTGTAACGTATCTAGATATCTGTTGCCATTCATTGTCACTCGCATGAAAAAGAACAGCCCATACAATTTGGTCTCTAAAATTTCACAAAACATATTCACTTTGGCTAAATCCTGTTGCTCCATAGTCCAGAGTCAGTTTTATGTCCCCCAGATATGCCCAATGGGATGGTTAACATTCCCACTGATATGGAATGTTGCCTAGTCACTAAATACAAGACAGGAAAAAAAACATAAACATGTTCACATCTGCCCTGTATATTCATGCAAAACTCTATTCATTGGTCCTTGTCTATAGGAAGTAAAGCTTGAGTCATCTGCAAGCTGTAAGGTTTTATTTGCAATCATTTTCTCAAAACACACTATACTGCTGTTCTCAAAAGTCCCCAATTCATAACACACTTTGTTAGTTTATTTCTTTGGGTTGCATGGTAACTTCACTATTTTTTCCACATTATCGCTACTAACATGTGGCCTCCCTCTACTTTTGCCTTTACAAAGACAGCCTGTTTCTTTAAATTGATGATACCACTTTCAAATGCTTTTGTTAGTCAGACTCTCTATTTGAAATCCTCTAACAAACACATGTTGGTTGAAAATTGCAGATTCTGATTTCAACTACTGCAAGACGTAAAATGCCGTCCCTTTCTGAGATGCCATTTTTCGCTCTAGTGATTACAGTGCCACCCACACAATTCATATTCAATACAGGCTATGGAAAAAAGAAAACATTTAAGTTTTTTCTTCCTTTTAAACTTATTCTGTTATGTCTCTATTTAAAAATGAATTTATTACAGCCTTTAAAAATACCGTATATCATTTTGAATAACCCCGTACTACCCTAATCAGCTGTTACATAGAATATCTAATTTTACGGTGTGGCAGGATAGATTTTACAAAAGATAATATTGTGGATTTAGCAGAGAAAGAGTTAACATATCTGACAAAATTTATACATATGCATGCATGATTATTGCATGCAAAAGTATAAAAAGAAAATAAAAATCTCTCAAAATGCAAGATTCATAAATAAATAAAAGGCACACATTTTTTTTTAAATGTTAATTTCATTTCAAAGGATTTTAAATTATAAAATTTACTATTACATGTTCATTATAAATTCATCTGCTTTCATGCCTGATCCAACAGCATTATACAGTCAAAAGTCGTTAATCCGGACTCCTCGGGACTTCGGCGATTCTGGATTATCGATTTTTCCGGATTATAGATTATCAGTTTAAATCTCATAAAATAGCATGCAGAAATTCTAAAATTAAAAATATGAAACCGTAATTTATGAAATAAAGAACAATTATGATCTAAAGGGTATCAAAATTTACAAAAAAAAGCTTAATATTTATTTGTTTACTTTATTAAACATTTCTTTCAATGCAAGTTGTTTAAGTTGCTTCGTTTTATGTGATAATACTTTCTCTTATTATGTGATAATACTTTCTCTTGCTAATTCTATAAACAGACATAATTTTTTGTTCAGTTACAAAGTTCCGCTGTTCAAGTCCCGTAATTGCTGTGCCGAGAATACCGACTAACTTGTCAATCGAAAGTTTTTCGTTTTCACTAACCTCTCTGTCACCTTCTTCACGTCTTTATCCATTTTTTTGCAGCAATTCCACTTTTCATTTGATGGACATCGAAACATACTTTAATTTTGTAGATCCTTTGGGAGCTCCAGCATCGGAAATTCTATTTGACATAATCGAAAGTTCAAGTTTACTTTTATAAAATTGCTCTCATAGTCTGCAAAAAATAATAAGCCGGATCCAATTCGAAGATTAAGGAACAACGCAATCATCAACATTAACTGAAATAGATAATTAGATAATATTAGCTTATACCGTCCGTTATACATAAAATGCGCACGCGAAAACATATTCTGTGCTTGCGCACACGCATATGCGCAGTTGTAAAGGTCTTACGCGCATGTCTGATGTGTCAACGCGGCGCATGCGCAGAGGTCCGGATTATGGGTGTCCGAATTAACGACTTTTGACTGTATTAACAAGCAACACATATTATTTATACAGTGCTTGCATAGAAAATAGCAATTTTAAACAAAAAAACATTTAAAAAAGTCTGCAGGAAATGCTTGTATGATAGTTCTATCTAAAATGTAAAAAAATTTCTGCTTCATCACCTTTGAAGTATTATCCATCAGAACACACATACTTACTCCAGCATTCCGGGCATTTCTAAAAGAATACTAAAATGCCTCTTTTGATAGCAATCATAAATTAACTATTATACCACTTTGGATAGCTTTAATTGCCCAAAAACTCTGTGCCCTTAGAATGACCTTGGCATAAGAGAACTGTGCAGTCAGATCGTGAGAAAGTCTGGCAAAAGAATAAGGATAGTCTTGTGCTGATGATCAAAGAAAACCATGCCTTTTCATTCATACATATTTTGCCTAAAAATTAACATCATGCCAGATGGCCAAAAGATACTTTCAGGTTACAAAACTATAACATGAAATTAGTCTCAAATAGCAGAAATTCACTCATTTCTTTTGTACTAGAATACACTAATGGCCTGTAGGATCTAAATTCAAGTTTCATACATATGACAAAAAATTAAATTTTTTGTCTGTTTTTTAAATTGAAAATTTTCAAATTTCCAAAAAATTTTCAATTACCAATAACAGAAGAATAATTTATTAAAGTATTGTTATTATTCTATAGCATTCTGAAAATAGAAAGTACATTAATAGCTTACCTTCTTGCAACTCAAGTTTTATCTTATCCATGTCTTCTTGCATAACAGCTTTCTGTGTATTTAAAACTGCAACATACATTTCTAAATCACTTCTAGATGCCTTTTCAGCTTGAAGACCTTGACTGAGACTAGTTAGCTAAAAAAAAAGTATGATTACTAAATTTATTTTTAATTTTGAAATTATTAATACGAACATTTGTAATTTATTTGCATTTTTACTCCATTAGTTAACTATTACAAATCAGTTGGCAACAGATTATCAAGACTTTTAAAGCATTACTGCTTCCTTAGTCATTGTTGCATAATTTGAAAGAAAAGGCTAAAGGGCGCTGTTGCTCGTATAGTTAAAAGAGAATAAAGTTTGTTCATGTTGAAGGCGGCGGCCTAAGAATGTGCTCTGTATATAGTGAATTAAAATATTGTTAAAAATGTAAAAGTGTTAAAATTAGTAAACTCACTGAACCGCCATCACCTGATTTAGAAATGCATAAATTATTTCATGTTGCATGCGACCGAAAATTAAGGCTTTGTGAAGATTTTAGGTGTGTGATCTAGTGTTTTGATTTCAATTTAACAATGGATATTTCATATTCAACAGACAATGGAATTTCAAATAAAGGTAGGGAAATATTAAATTAATTATTTAGTGATTATTTGTAGCAAATTAGTAAGTATTTATTTTTTGAGTGTTTTGATTTTGATTTAACAATGGATATTTCATATTCAAGGGACAATGGAATTTCAAATAAAGGTAGGGAAATATTAAATTAATTATTTAGTGATTATTTGTAGCAAATTAGTAAGTATTTATTATTACTGTTGTGGGTGTATTTAAATTAAATAAAATGGAAGATAAATTAGACAGGTTGAAACGTAAATGTTCCACATTGAGATCGTCTGTTACAAGGTTAATTAAAGTGTTTGAAGATAAATTAAAAATTGAAGGAGGGAAAATTCGATTAAAGAATTACGGGAATTGTTTGAATTATTAACCGAAAAGAAAAATAATTTGAGAACGCTTGATGATGAAATACAAGAGTTAATTGATGTTAACTTAATTAAAGAAGATTATAGTATAAGTGAAGAATACAATGACAAATGTATAATTGCTTGTGGTCAAATTAAGCAGTTTCTAGGCGCGGTTACCGCAGTACCGCCAGTGAGGAATCCCCAAAGTTCTGATTTAAACCAGTCTAGTGGTAATGGAATTTTGCATGTAAGTTCCAGTTCTAGTAGGAGTAGTACACTAAAATTACCAAAATTAATGATTGATAAATTTGGGGTAGACCCTAAACAACGGAATGAATTTTGGAATAGTTTCGAAAATTCAATAGATAAAAACGAAACTATGCTCTCAAAAATACAAAAATTGCATACTTAAAAACATTCTTAATGGGGACAAGCTTTGAATGTTGTTTCAGGCTTTGAATTAACAGAAAGTAATTATGATAGTTGTGTGTGTAGCATCACTAAAAGGACAGATATGGTCGAAAAGACCTGATCATTAATTCATTCATGAATAAAATTCTCAATTTAGAAGCCGTTAAAAATTCTGCTAACGTAAAGTGCTTTACGTAAATTGTATGACGAAATTAGAAGTTTCGATTCGTAATTTGGAAGCTTTAGAAGGTAACTTCTGGCTCATATGGACATTTACTAATTCCAATATTATTAAAATTAATTCCGGACGATTTAGTTTTGGAATTTAATCGGCAAAGAGGATCGAAAGATAAAGTTGAAGTTTCGTAATTAACACAATTTATTAAAACGGAAATAGAATGCAGGGAAGTTTCAAATCTAGTATTAAATGAAAGGAAAAATCCTGTGCCTCCGCAAGTCGATCAATCAAAATATAAAACTAGAAAATATGTAAAAAATACACCCACAGCTGCATTTCATACTGCAGTTAACCGAAAATGCATCTTTTGTGATAATTTGCACGATTCATTTAAATGCGAAGTGAATGTTTCTGATAAATTAAAGAAACTAAGATCCGAAAAACCGCTGCTATTTCTTGTTTTAAAAAAATTTCCATACATCAAAAAAGGTGTAGAAATAAAACTAAATGTAATAAATGTGGCGGTATGTATTACAATGAATCGATTTGTACTAATAAATCCCCTGTAAACAAAAAATCGGAACAAAGTTATTTCGAAAATAAAACTGAATCTCTGACTTTGAATTCTGAGGAAAGAAATAAAGTTCAAAACTTAAAATTGATTGCTTCTGTTCCTCAAGGTGATAATAATAATGACTGTAATGCCACGGAAGTATTATTACAAACTTGTACAGTTTACACTTGTTCTAAGTATAAATCAAAATTAACTAGATTAATTCTTGATCAAGGCAGTCACAGATCCTTTATAACGAAAAAATTGGCCGACTATTTAATACTTACTCCAATCCGTTATGAAAGACTTTCTGTTTATTCATTTGGTGCAACCAAGGCAATGAATCATTCCTATCCAGTCGTTGAAATCGAAACAAATTGCAGACTTTATAGAGCATCTGGGGTTGCAGATCGCCAATTGCTCAAGAAAAAATAACACAGATGTTGAAATATTAATTGGTGGGGATGAATTCTGGAATGTAGTTTATTCAGAAAGAATTAAAATATCTGAAGTGTTGTACGCAGTCAGTTCTGTGTTTGGTTGTGTTGCTGCAGGAATCGAGAAAATTAAAACAAATAAAAATTGTTCTGAAAATTTAGCGGTAATGACAAACACTGTTGTGTTGAAAGATTTAAGAGGTTTGGGGGAATTAGAACATATGGGAATTAATGATTCTGATGATTATTCCGATATTGATTGCGAAATAATAGACCAGTTTGAAAGAAATTTGCACTTTAAAAATGGAAGATATGAGGCAAATTTAATCTGGAAATACAGTCCAAATAATCTAGGAAATAATTTTAAGGTAGCTAAGAAACGATTCGCAAACCTTCACAATAAACTCCGGAGACTTTTCAGGAATATAAAAATATAATTGAGAAACAGATATTGGAAGGAATTGTGGAGGAATGTCCAAATAATGATACAAATTTAGGATATTTTATGCCGCACCGATCAGTGATACGATCTAGTGAAACCAATAAGGTAAGAATTGTGTACGATGCTAGCTCAAAGACAGAGGACACAAATTTGTTAAATGACTGCCTTGAATCGGGACTTAATCTAAATCCAAATATACTAGACATTATGTTAAATTTTTTTCGTAAGTTTAAGATAGCGTTTTGTGGAGAAGTTTGAAAAAAGCCTTTTTGATGATAGGAATTGCTGAAGGTGATAGACAAATTTCTAAAATTTCTTTGGTTTAATGAAAATAATGACTCCTTTAAGATTATGCAAATGTGTCGCGTAGCTTTTGGTTTGACTATATCTCCTTTCATTTTGGCCACCACTATAAAATATCACATTCGGGAAATATAAAGATAAAATGCCAGACAATTTCCAAATGTTGAATTCTTCTGTCTATGTCGACGACCTATATTTTGGGGCAGGAACGGTTGAAGATGCATATCAGTTATCTGTAGATGCGGTTAACATATTTAAGGACGCTGGGATGAATTTTAGAAAATTAAGTTAAATTTAAAAAATTTGACTTTTCTACTGGAAACAAGAACTTGTGAAAGAAGATCATTATGCAACCGCTCCAGAACTTGCTAAAGAATTAGACACTAGTGCTATGTTCATTAGTTGCACTATGCATCGCATAAATTTGATGTACAAGTTCAGTTGTTGGGTGCCACATGAGCTGACTCAAGCAGATAAGGACAGACATGTTCAGGCCTGCCCTAATCTGCTTGAATATCAATGTAAGGAAAAAATTCTGGACTGAATCATCACTTGCGATGAAAAGTAGATTTTCTTCAACAACACAGATCGAAAAGGAGGTTGGTCCGCACCATCGACCAATCGGCAGTGTTGCCCATGAGCCCATCGGCTGTGTTGCAAAGAACTGCCGATCTTTTTGTTATTCAAACTGCAATTTGATTAACAAAAAGTATCCATGCTTTGTATCTGGCAGCATTGTCATGGTATTATCCACAAAGAGTATCTGGAAAAAGGTAAAACTCTTGACAGTAAAGTGTATAGTGAGATGCTAGCCCGTCTCGATGCTGCTATCAAGGAAAAACATCAAATTGAGTTCTGGTGCAAAAACGTAATGTTCTATCAAGATAATGCATGACCACATGTGTCTGTATTCACTGGTTGAACTCTGTACAGACTCAAAAGGGGATCTTTTGCCACATCCACAATACAGCCTCAACATCCTCCTTTAGACTTCTACCTTTTTTCACACCTGCAGCTACATCTTGCTGGCTCTATCTTCCATTCTGCACAGGATGTCAGAAACGAGGCGATCTGTTTTTGGACTTGCAACCCCAAGTTTCTCGGCTGAAGGCTTTGACAAACTACCAAAATGTTGGCAGAAAATTATATATTTGGGTGGTGATTACTACCCACACTAAAGACTACTGCTTTCATGTTTTTTTTTTTTTTTTTTTTTTTTTTCCCTAACTTTACTAAGAACGCTTTCTGGCAGAAAACTTTGATTACAACCATAGATAGAGAGAGATAGGCACATACACACATATATTACACATGTTAATAATATGCTTTGTTTTTTGTACTTGCTCTGCTTAAACAGTAAATAAATTTTATTAAGCTTGTTTACAAATTTGATGCTATATTTTTGCAGAAAATGTTTTACTATGACCAGTATGGGTTCAAATTTTCATGTGTTACATTTTTCCGTGTGCTGGATTGCTTGCATATACATTTTATTTTTTGGACACAGTCTTCTCAATTTTTTTAATCTTATATGATTTTCAGGTTATAATTTTGCAATTTTTGATGTACTTACTATGGCTTATAGAGAAGGGGTGGGCTGATAAAAACACAAATTACCTTGATTAATTTTTACTTTTTTACTTTTGATTATTTTTACTTTGATTAATTTTCTGACATTATTTTAAGCATTAAACTTAAATTTGTCTTTAGTGGTTCAGAAACAGGTTGATGTATTTACTTCTTTCATTGCAGCAAAAGATGCAATTTTTGTTGTTGTATTTTTGCACCTAACATGCATTTTGCCACTGTGCTTCTAGTTTTTTGTTTCTTGAATGTGGTTTATTCCAATAGGATGGATTTTAAAAGTATTTTAAATTCTTTTAATTCATTTTGCATTATACTCATTACGAAATTGCTATCTAGCTTTTAAATTTTGCTTTGCCATTCATTATAAATTGTATTATTTGCTTTAAAAGGGGGGAAATCACCTTTTCATCTAAATGCTCTACTACTTCAGCTGGCCCTTTTCCTTTAATCATTTCTGACAATGCATCAGATCCCAAACCCTTTACCAAGTCGGCAAAAGCTGTTTCATACAGCCTTAACTGTTCATCAGTTGCCCGCAATTTGTCTTTTAATGCTTTAATTTCTTCTTCTAAAGGTACAACAAGTGAGCGCAACATCTCTGCATCTTCTTGAGCCTAGATAACAAAAAGAAACACATATACTTTACTATTTATTTAATTTTAAAGAGCTTAAAATAAATGTTCAACTTATTCAATAAAAAATTCTTTACATGTAAAAATTATACATACAAGACTGCATTATTTATTGCATATTCTTGTTCATTTTACTTTTATTTTTAGTTAATATTTTGTATTGATTCTAAAATTCAGATATATGTACTTACTACATATTCAACCAATTTAGCTATTTTTACTTGAGAATTAGTATACTATATGCAATATATAAATAATTGTAATGATGACAATATATTTACAGTAATATTAGCGTAAAAGAGATACTTCATCTAGCAAAAATGTAACCACTAAATATTACTCAGCCCCCCAAAAAATTACCTTGTTTAGAAGTGCAGGGGTAAAAATGGATTAAAAGATAATTATAAATAAATAAAATAACAATGAAAATGCAGTTACATTATTTTATTATAAATCTCATGGCTACATAGCTAGAAGAACCACTGATTCAGTGCAGTATAATTACATTTCCATAAACAAAAAACATCTTACTTTAATTAATCACATATTTTGTGCTCATAAATAGTTATACAAGCTGTTAAATGTTCTTACAAAGATTAAGCTAAAAAATGAAAGTGAAAGACCTAGAGATAGATAAAGCCAAATCTGCTCATGCCAAATCTACACTTAATTCTTTTCACTGTAAAAATATGGACATGAAAGGATTAAAATTTGCAACCTGCAAAGGACTGGCTATTTGTCAAAGACATTTGGCCAAATTACTTCACATAATGAGCATTTGCATGTGTGATATTACAAATGAATGATAACATGACAATTGCACTGCAATACAAGTTTAATAATTCTGCCTTCAGCACATATGGAATTTTTAAAACTCACAATCTGTGAACTTTATAATTACCTAGTAATCTTCAGTAATTACATCTCAGAAAGTGGCTAGCTACAAAGTAGTAGTTAAGTGAATTTTCCTATATTCTTACAAGCCTTATAACTTGCATGGTAACAAAAAAGAAACATTAATGCACTCAAAAAATGGCCTAAAAAGCTATCAGATGTAGTTATATTATCAGTATTATTACTGATAATTAATGTTTAATAAAACAGAAAATTTATATTGGATAAAACTCAGGATAAAATTTATTTACTCCATGGGGAAAAAAAACTATTTTCAGTGATATATTAAGCTATTACATTCTGGAAGTTTCTGAAATGGAGTGCACTTCACAACTGAAACTCAAACACAGAAATCCCTCTACTCATGAGCATGCCACTGCATTATCTGCATTATCAAAGACAGCAACTAGATTCTCATAACTTCAATTTGATAGTTTGTCTTGATCTCGAATGCTCCCTGAACTTAAATTTCACCATTAATTCATGGATTGCACTTCCTTTGTCTAACTTTTGAACTGAAATTAGTAATACTGGAGATCAACTCCAAATGTGCTTTAAAAATCAAAACTAACAAAACCAATCAGCATGCTAAAATTGTGTTATGAGTAGTATTAATTAGAAGTTACCTATGCCCTAAGACTCTTAAGAATGTACCATTTGAATCTAACATCTCTCCTTCAAAGATATGCATGATGCCAGGCTTCTGTTTATTTATACTTCATGTTTTAGATTTGAGTATTTCTGCATTCTCTTTGAAATTTAAACTGAATATAATCTCATTAGGAATTCTTCTTTTCAGATTAATGGCATAGGTCTAAAAATTCATCTTGAAAAATACCATTATGATCTTATTTAAATATCTAATAAAAATTCTATTTTATTTAAACCGCTTTAATTTTGTCTTCATGATGAAATACATGTTTCCTTAATCATTAGTATAGAAAATTTTTAAAAATTCAAATTTTAAAATACTATAATCACCTTTCTCATGCTCTCTTCCAAATTTTCAATGCTTTCACCAGTACTGGATGTGAAAGGAAGAGGGCTGCCCAAATTTCCAACACGTTTCAGAGATTTTGTAACAGCTGCTAATACCCCTTCTCGGGAAATGTCAGTCCTAGAATATTTCGTTTTATTTAAAACCATATTAGATCTCTTGAAAAATATATAAAAATAAATAAATAAAAATTCTTCTTCCCCTTACAACTTTTAATGCTGGACATTAATTAGTTTCCTTCACAGCAAGTACAACTTAACAAATTTAAATCTTTAGTCTTAGCTCAAGAGCTGCAATTTCTCTAGAATTGCAGTTTCTCCATATATTCAATATCTTCAACAAAACAGTAGAGCTACACTGAATTTTTCAACTAAAAACATGTCTGTACTAAGCAATAAAATTAAGGGGGATGTGTAAAATAAATTTAAAAACATATAACATGAATAAAAACTGAAACAATAAATAATAATTTAATCTTTTCTACAATATAAAAAATGTTTTAAAGAAAAATTGTCCTGATAATAATGATACCAGTCTTATTTAAATATCACAAAACAAGATTACAGTATTGTTTCCCTACTTAAAATTTATGAGCTATTAATTTTTTATCTAAAATACTTCAAAATTGGAGACAGCATTTAATATTCCAAAACAGTCATAATTTAAAATTACTCCTTTTATCTCCAGAAGATGATTTGCATGATGTGAATAAGAATAATGATAATAAAACCACAATTTCAGAATCATACATACTATGTACAATTTCCATATGTTATGAAGTGAGGTAACCTACTTCTCACGATTTTTTAATTCTTGTAACTCAGCTTCCAATTTCTCATTGGTCTTTTGCAGTTGAGATATCTCCTTCTCATATCGACTAGACGTATTCCTTACTGCTTCACTAACTGCTTCTATAATTCAAATATACAATGCATTATAAGTGGGGTAGTGTGAGAAATTATAATACAATTAACCCTCTTATAGAAATTATGGTAGATAACCACCTTTTAAAATGATCAATGTATCCGAGAACAAAAAATAAACAACAGTATGGATAATTATAATGCAATGATCATCAATATTAAAGGATAATGAGAAAAAATACACTCACCAAGTTAGTGTTGCAACAATGCCCAATGCTGTAATTATTTATGTTAATTATATATAATTGAACACAAAATTGCACTTCTGCACATATATTACTGCCAGATATATGCAAATTCGGTGATTGACATTATGATGCACAATGGACACTTGTTGGAATTCCAGTCTGTAGTGTTGTTTAAAGTAAATGTGATTTCTGAGAGTGATCAGTATCCAGTAGTGGCTCAAAAGGATCATTTAAGTGAAGGAATAATTGGTAGAACTGAGAGATGTCAAAGAGAAATGGAGATCATCCAAGATTTGAATATGGCTCAAAGTGTCATGTCACGTATCTGGAGTCACTTTTTAAACAATGCATCAGTTGACAGATAGCTTGGTCAAGGGCAACCAAGAGAAACAACTGCATCAGAAGACCACTTTCTGTAGTTGTTGGTTCAAAGATACTATGAAGCGACTATAAGAGATTTGGTTTTAGACCTTCAGCCGCCCATATGAACTCAAATTAGCTGTTCTACTGCTGCATGAAGCTTAACGAGTTTCGACTGCATATGAGAAAAACAATTATTTGTGTCTTATTCACTCTAGCTTCCAAAAAGGCCTGTTTAAATTGGTGCTGGCATCATGTTCAATTGATCCAAAATGACTAGGTCCAAGTATTGTTTACTGAAACATGCAGATGAACAGTGATTCCAGATATGCATCTGGAGAAAGGAAGGAACACGCAATTTGTATTCCCTTGTCCGTGAAATATCATGTTTCTGCAACCATAGTTTAATGATTTAGGAAGGAATCATCAAAAATAGCTGCACTGAACTGCATATCTTTCACGGAGGTTCTGTAACTGGAGATATGTAGATGAGGTATTGGAAACCCAAGTTAAACTGTTTAGGGGTTCTGTTGGCCCAGAGTTTTTGCTAATGGATGACAATGCTTGGCCTCATTGAGCATATGTGGCATCAGAACACTTGCAAACAGAAGGTATCATTCAAATGGATTGGCCACCTTACTCACCTGACTGAGCATGTGTGGTGCCAAATATCAGTGCACCAAATTCTTTCCTGGATTCTCCAGGAGCTAAAAAGTGCACTTTTAGAAGAATGGCGTACAATTCCACAAGACTTTGTAAAGTCCATGAAATCAAGATGTGAAGTATGCATATCTGTACGAGGTGATCATACAGACAGAAAATTTTCTACAAGAGGTGACTTGATTATTCCATCATTTTCCAGCATGTATAAGTTTGGTTTTAATTTCAATATTTTGCAAATAATCAATGGTCAAACATTGTAATTTATGTTAATTAATGCTTTTATTCAAATTTATAAACAATTTTCATTAAATACCAGTTACATTTTATTTCTGTCATTATCTTTTAATTTGATAACCAGTGTATTAAGAAGACAGTTTCTTCACCAGGTTAATTCTATTCCCAAATTTCAGAACAAGAACATCTCAACTCAACCAGGGACATCCAAATGCATGTATTCATGACCTCGAAAAGCACTTTAATTACAACAACAGCCCTAAAATATTTCAAGGCATGATAGAGTCCTAATTAAATGAGGTAATACTGAAGATGGCATCTGCTATTAATCCAAAATCATAATTAACCCAACAGCAGTTCAAAAAAGCACAGGAAAGAGGAATAGCATATATTATAATTTAAAGAAGGAAATATTAATGACTTACACATATTTTTAAGCAGTTTAATTTAGAGAATTCCTTTGTTTATGTAAATTAAAAATAATATTCAAAACAAGAACATATTTCAGAACAGGAAAAAAAAATGTATATATTACTCTTGTATTTTGAAAGGAGTCACAGAAATAGAACAGTAGCAATGCACTTAATTTACTTTTGAAATTTAGCAATTTATTTTTAATGGATGATTTAACAATGTATATATTCCAGATTACATATAATTAAATTAATACTGCTATTAGTACATTAGTGCAATACTGACACCATCAACTGCTATCTCATGATTATTTTTTCCTTTTAACATTTTAAAAAGGAATTTTGTTTTATTTTGATGGTTTGTGAAATTTTTCCTGGTTTGTGAAATTCTGCAATAAACAAACTGAACCAATCGAATGATCTGCCCTCTGCACTCGAATTAATTGGAAGTTCACTGTACTGTAAAAATCAAGAAATGTACTTACAAATTTATTTCCTTTACTATACATAAAACTTTTATTTTTTATTCTGATCCCAGAGCAATGTAATTTATCTTATAGCTTGTTTGTGCCACAGTTTGCTTTAAATGGTTCTGAATTGTTTATACTGATTTTTCAATTCCCTCTCAAAGTAGATAAATATGCCAGATTATTTAAAAACAATTATCCCCATTAATAAAAGATTATAATTTTAAGAATAATTATAATATTAATGAGACAAACCTTTATCACTCAACACCCATAATTCATTAAAATTCAACCTTTCAAACATTTACAGCATTACAAAATAAAAGGATAGTGGCGATTCAGTGTGTCAAAGCTTTTAGAGGCTTATAATAAATAATAAACAATTCATTGCCACTTAAGATGCTTAAAAATGTCAGTATCTATGAGTGAAATGGTACACAAATCCAAAATTCCAACTGCTGGAAACTTGGATAGCAGGAGTAATTTTTTACAAGCTCCTTAAATTCTGACAAACAAATTAAAACAATTAGGTCATAATTTAGGAGATATTAAAGTGGTTGATATATTTATGGAATTCAAGCTTTTCAGAAATAAATTAAATTGAAGTAGGAAACTAAGCAGACAAATTTCTTTGCATGAATAATCCGTGTTTTTGAAATTATTAAAAAAAAAGAGAAAAAGAAAATCTGAAATATTTCAGATTTTAAATTACATCCAAAGGGGCATCTTTTTAACATTTTGTGTGTTACATTTACATTATTAAATATCATGTTCTTCGCACTTAAACCATAAAACTCAGTTCAACAGCAATATCACAAAATAGTTTTAAAATGAGCATATCTTTAGAAATTCCGATACAGAGACTCACGCGCTGGAGATAAAAGTGTTTTTTCTGTACAACGTTGCCATTGCTTGCTTTGAAATCGTTGAGTTTGTTAATCAAAAGTTTGTTAAGTTTTACAAAACAGGAAATCGATAATAAAACAAATTTCAAATTTGGTCTTCCACATGCCCATATTCGTAGGAGGATTACGTCATTCAAAATTCGATGGATCTATGTACCGTTGTTTTATCACAATGCGAAAAATTCTTCTAATTCTTTGTAATTAATTTATAATTTAATACATTAAATACAGATTTTTCATTATTTAATTTCTTTAAATATAACACAGGGCGATAATACTTTGTGGCAACAGTTTTAAAAGTGATTCGCCGTTTGTAGTGAATCGACGCGGAATCGCAAAACGAAAGCAATAGTCCTTCAGGGACAAAGCCCCTTTGGACTAAAAAATACCAAAGATTTTTTTTTTTAAAAAAATATTCAGAAAATACATAAAATCTTTTTTTTACATTTTAAAATATTATTCAAATACAAAATTTTCTATGATTTTTTTGTTTTCCTTAATTATTCTTTGTAATTAATTTATAATTTAATGTATAACATTATTAATAAATCAATGTACCATACTTCAGTATTTTTCTTTAACACATTCCAGAAACTTTGAATAGGATATATCTAATGAAAATTGATAATCACCATCAGTGACAGTCGTTTACTTTTAAATGACCACCTTCACAAAAGATTGAAATAGGAAATATGGGTGGATGGTTACTTTAGAGAAGATTCACTGTATTTTGAGGCAGGGGGGAAGTACAGTTACGTGATATAGAAGGAATTTCAACAGATATTATTAAAAAAATACAATGAATTTCAGTTATCATATCATATATTAGGATTTAATATCACAATGATGTATAATCAAATACAGTTACAAACTATAATTAAATTATTTAAAATAATATGACAAAGAAGAACAACGCACAGTTAACACACACAATACACATTCTTTTCACATTTACATCTTTTTACTTCAGCACCAACATATGAAATAATGTTTCCACATATACATTTGTAGCTCATGCAATATCATAATCCAAGCTTCTTTTGTCCTTCACTTGATTTTTCATACAGCTATTTTTAAAAAATCTTTCAGTAATTGTCAGTTTTATGAATGATTAGTGATTAATTTCCAACTTTAGCAGCATTTATTATCAAACGATGTAACAAACCCAAAAATAAATAATAAGAATTGTGAAACTTATTATTTTTGGAGGGATTAAATAACGATAGTTTTCAATTTATCATCAACTGAAAATGAAATTATCACATTCTTACAAGAAAGGGTCCCTTCACCCGAATTTATAAAAGCAAGAATGAAATGAAGATGTGTACACTGAGAGTTTATTCACATAATGCCGATTCCTGCTCCTTACTTTTGATTTCTTTAATATTTAGTTCTTTGGCCTATTCTTTTGTAATATTTGCAACAAGCTGCAGCAGACCACACAGAGATGAGAAAATTATGTGTGCAGTCCCTGCAAGTCACTGTTTTCAAGCTTTTACAACATGTCACACGACATGGTCTGACATCGCAGACATAATAATTCATTCCAATTAGTAACAGTACAAGAGACATAATTTCACGACCAGTTTCAAGAGATTTTAGCATTCTGCACAGTGTCTGTCGTCAAAGCCTCTTGATTTCAGGAGGGCTGACAAACCAATGATTTTGTTTTTCCTCTGATATCGTTCCAGGTATAATGAATCAGAGAATATAAAATACTACTGAAAAATTAAGGAGGCATGGCTAATTCAGTTTGAA